TTTTAGCTTCCTCCCACCTACCCCACCCTCCTTTTTTTTTTTTTTCTAAATTTGAGACAAGGTCTTTCTCTGTTGTCCAGGCTGGAGCTGGAGTGCAGTGGCACAATTTCAGATCACTGTAACCTCCACTTCCCAGGCTCAAATGTCCTGGATCAAGCAATCTTCCCACTTCGGCCTCTCAAGTAGCTGGGGCTACAGGTGCACACCATGGTGCATGGCTAATCTTTTATTTTTTATTTTTGTAGAGATGGAGTCTCACTACATTGCCCAGGCTGGTCTTGAACTCCTGAACGTGAGCTATCCTCCTGCCGTGGGCTCCCAAGGCGCTAGGATTGCAGGTGTGAGACACTGTGCCCAGCAGCTTTCGCCTTTAAATTTTAAAGGTTACCATTGCAGGCCTCAGGCATGACAGACAATGAGCAGGTGAAAAACTAATAGAAAAGTGTTTAGAAACTCCTGTGTTAACTAACAGGCTTCTGAACGTATCACTGCGGTCCACAGAGAAGGCTGGAGAAAGTAGCAAGAAGATGCTATGCCAACTACTACAGCCTTAAAACAAAGGTGGTGTCTATGTAGCTAAAATTTTTCCTGTGTAGCTTGTGTTATTTTTGTTTAATCAAGTCAATAAGAGGGTTTTTCCATGGCAAACAAACAAACAAAAACTCCAATGCATACCTTCTTTTCTTCTTCTTAACAATGAATTAAAAGAGGAAAGAAGGTACAATTCTGAATTGACCCAATTTATTTTTTCTTTTCTAAATGAGATTAAGATAAAAGTTGGAGAGAGGCCACTCAGATATGCTCACAAATGATAGCTCAGTTTCTAACGGGTACTCAGCTTACATCTGATTAAGGTTTTCTGTGAAACTGGAAATTGTTCCTCATACCAGGCCCACCGGACCTGGACAGCCCTAGGCTGGGTCCTGGTCTCACAGTGCTGGGTCTCTCCAGGGCCCAGGATGGGGACTGGAGATCCTGAGCTCCTGTCATTTCCCTCCCCTCCTTCCTTCCTTCCTTCTCCCCTGGCAAAGACTGTATCCTGTTGCTCTGAGCAAGGCCCAAGAGAAAGGCCAGCAACAAGTTATTGTGCTGGGAAGGAAGACAAATGAGTCCCTTTTCTGTGGGGCTCCTGGCATCCTGTTGGAGGAAGGAAAGGACAATGCTTTGAGGGAACTGGCTTTGCCGACCCCCTCCTGGCAGGCTCTCCCCTCTCCTTTCCGGTGTAGCGTTTGTCAGCCCCAAAGCGTCCACTTCCTGAGTAATCGTTAGATGCACGTGTGAGGTATGTGGTTCCCCCATGCCCAAGGCAGATTCCTGGCCCAACTTCAGGAAGTGCAGCTCAAAGAGCCCTGGACCAGGACCCTGAAACAAGGGAAAGTCTTGGCTCCTCTCTCTCTACCAGGGTAGCTACTGCCAGATCATTTCACATCTTAGGGCCTCTGTTAAGGCAATTGCGAAAGTGCCTTCTGTACACTTGAAACTGCCCCCTGCATCAGGGATTCCCACACCTTCCTATACATCAGAGTCACCTGGGGAGCTCTGTTGCCCTACACTATTCATATGCCATGCCTGGACTCCAAGCAAGAAAAGCAGACACTCCATCCCCAGAAATGTTCTGTGATAATTCCAGTCCCCCTGAAATTAAAAACAAAAAACAAACAAACAAAAAACTATCCTTCCTTATGCTCTTACCTAGCTCTTTCCTATCCCCCTTCAATAAAGTGGTGGATTGATAGATACACAGATACAAGAAGCAGTAAGGAGTAGTGGCTAGGAGAGTGAATTTCAGAGACAGACTTCCTGCAGTCAAAGCCCAGATCCTCCACTAGATATGTACGCTTGGGTAGAACTTCGAACCATTAGGTTCTTGCCTTTATTTGTCTGTGAAATGGTAATAATAATAATAATACTTTCTAGGATGATTGTAGGGTTGAGCTAATATGTTCAACACCTTTAATACAGAAGTTAGCTAATGAGGATACTATATAAGGGTTAACTATTATTATTATTATCCTAGAAGTTCATTGAACATATAATGAGCTTTTTTTTTTTCTGGACCTAATATCAAGCCAAGCATTGGTGACTTAGGAATGAATATGACACATTTCCTGCCCTCAAGAAATGTTTAGGTCAGTAGGAAAGTCAGACTTATGAAGAACCAACAATAACAAAATATTGTTACACGATGGATTCCCCTAGGAAGCAGGTTCAGAAGGTGTTTAGCACTCAGGATGTTCTCAGGGAATGCCTTGAGATGAACACTTGTGGAAGAGGGAAAGGCCACAAGCAGGACTGGCAGTGTGAGAAGGCAAAGCATGATGCAGGCTCCAAAACTATCTTGGTCAACCCCACCAACAGCCCTGGAACTAAAATGACCCTTCAGAGTTTTCAAAAGTGAAGCCAAGGTAGCCAGAGCTCCTTATACTCCTTTATCAATCAGTCACTAGATGTAGGTTGCTCCAGGAAGGAGTGTGACTTGGGATCAGCCATCTCTTCCCTAAAGGTTGACAGTACTCCAGGAACTAGAGTAACAAGTTCTTGATTGAAAAGGGATCTGGAGCCAGGTGCAGTGGCTCATGTCTGTAATCTCAGCACTTTGGGAGGCTGAGGTGAGTAGATCGCTTAAGCCCAGGAGTTCAAGAGCAGCCTTGCCAACATGGTGAAACCCTGTCCTATCAAAAATTACAATTAGCTGGGCATGGTGGCACGCGCCTATAATTCCGGCTACTTGGGAAGCTGAGGCAGGAGAATCACTTGAAACCGGGAGGTAGAAGTTGCAGTGAGCCAAGATCGCACCACTGCACCCTAGCCTGGGTGGTAGAGTGAGACCCTGTCTCAAGAAAAGAAGGAAGGAAGGAAGGAAGGAAGGAAGGAAGGAAGGAAGGAAGGAAGGAAGGAAGGAAGGAAAGAAGGAAAGAAGGAAAGAAGGAAAGAAGGAAAGAAGGAAGGGAGGGAGGGAGGGAGGAAGGAAGGAAGGAAGGAAGGAAGGAGGGAAGGAAGGAAGGAAGGAAGGAAGGAAGGAAGGAAGGAAGGAAGGAGGGAAGGAAGGAAGGAAGGGGATAAGGGAGATGCATCCCAGTGTCCACCTCGTCCACCTCAAATCTATAAGGTCAATTTTGATGAAACAACAAAAAGTATAGAGAAGAAGATGAGTAGCTGATCATATATATTGAAAACCCTGATATTTCTATGGCATTTTATATTTTTCAAAACATTCTCTTAGACAAAAGCTTGCTCATGACTTCCAGTCTAGGGTCTTGAGGTAGGTTGGGAAGCCATGTGTTATAAAGAAGAAAGCTTTAGATTTGGAGCAGAGAGGACACTGTGAATTGCAGCTCTGCCACTGTCTAGGAAGGAGTCTTCAGCATGCCTCTCATGTTTTCTAGGTCTACTCTGTGAAAAGGAAATGATCATACATAATTTATACCTTTGCTGTACGGATTTAATCAAATGATAGACAAAAAGTAGAGTGGCACAACCTAAACTCAAAAAATAGTAACAACAAACAACAAAAACAATTTCAAAATAAGTGACAGCAATAAAGGTTACCTACTATTTTACAAATAAAAATACTGAGACCAATAAAGGTAAGATACTTTCTTAAGAACTCACAGTCAAATGTAGGTACATCCAAGACTATAACTCACCTACTGAGATCAGTTTCACGTGACCTCATAGCTTGTCATCTTACCTATAGAACCCATAGAAGTTGATGAACCTCTGAGGGGTCGATTCAGGTGTTTTGTTTATGATTAACATTGGAAGGAATCTTAGAGATCATCTTGTCACCTTCATAAATCAGGAGCTTCATGTGGCCCAGTCTTTGCATTGACTAGAATATAAGGAAGCATAACCCAGTAGTAACTAGAAACAAATTCTCATTTTCTCTTAGGTCCTTTCAAAACTTTAAGAAAGATCAATTCCCAAAAAACGTATCTCAAGCAATCTTTGCTTCCTTACTAATTTATTGAATTTGACTATTGTTGCAGGACCACATGCTCAGCAAACACACTGGCACTCTTTATCAAACTTCAGCCTTCAAGGTGCTATTTTCTTTCCTATATCTCCTCTCAATTATTTATAATGTGGATGAACTGAGTTTCTGTCTTCTGCCTTGTATGGACTACTTCTCCTGCCTTTCTCAACCCATATTTCACATAAAGCACCACAAAAATCAAGGACTCATATTAGCAAAGATAGAAATCTCCATAGATGGACTGGGTTCATGAGAGAGGAGGAAGGAGAATGGGGAAGAAATGGTACTCAAAATTATTAATGATGGATATAGTAAAGAGTATTAGTCCATTTTCACACTGCTGATAAAGACACACCCGAGACTGGGAAGAAAAAGAGGTTTAATTGGACTTACAGTTGCACATGGCTGGGGAGGCCTCAGAATCATGGTGAGAGGCAAAAGATACTTCTTACATGGTGGCAGCAAGAGAAAATGAGGAAGAAGCAAAAGCTGAAATCCCATCGTATCTCGTGAGACTTATTCACTATCACGAGAATAACACGAGAAAGACCAGCCCCCCATGGTTCAATTACTTCCACCTGTACCCTTCCCACAACACATGGGAATTCTGGGACATACAATTCAAGTTGAGATTTTGGTGGGGACACAGCCAAACCATATCATAAAGATGAATCAGAATAGATTAGCCAAGGAATTGAATTAGGGTCCTCAAGGCCCTCTAATGTCCAGTGACATAACCACTGGGCTGCTGACTCACAGGGAGGTATGGAAAATCCTGGAGTAGAGTCTGGAATGACTGAGGTAACAGAGAGAATATTCAAGGGACTCAGGGCAACAGAAATATATCAATTGGTATAAAAATATTTCAATTTTTACTATTTTAACAATGGGTGCAGCCTTACAGGCACATTGCAAACTCACGCCAAAGCCTGAGCTCTTACCACCATCCACATTCCCCAAAAGGCATGCAAGGAGTCTGACTATGGAAAACCATAGCACATTTCCTCTCTTCTCTCTCTCATAGGCATTATAGTACACGTAGCCTTGGAGTCAGAAGACCAAGAACATACAAGAGAACATAGCCTTGGAATCAGAAGATCAAGAAACAATTTAACTCTGCCCCTCCAGAGCTCTGAGAACTTGGGCAACCCTCTTACTCTCTGTGAGTTTCAGTTTCCTCATTTATTTAATTGAAATAATAATACAGATCACCTGAAATGTAATGAAAATTAAACTTCCTTATGTAGGTGATACCAATTGGCAGCATGCCTGGAATATAGTAGGTGTTCAATAAATACTTTTATCCCCCACATTCTGTCTCTTGTATTTTCTTTCTATACCCTACTCCTATTCCCTTGGATTCATGCATCTGAATTGGAAACACCCAAAGTCAAAAAGAATAAGAAAAGTCTTTAGAAATGTGGCATATTACCAAGATCTGCAAATTTCTGCCTGGAGCAGGTGGTTCTAAAAAAGAAAGTCGGATCTCATATTGAGTTCTTTTCTGTCCAAGAATAGAAGACCTTCCCTCTTCTCCAGTACTGAAGAATAGGATTCATCAGCCTTGGGGGCAAAGTTAACTGCTCTAGAAAGTGGCCTGGATAGTCAGAAACTCTATCTGTTTTATACACATACACACACTTTTGTTTGTCAGTTAAATATTCAATGAGACTTGATAGTCCAATCCTTTGAAACCAGAATAATATTTGAAATTTTGATGATTTTGTCTAACTGCTAATATTACTTGCAGGTCATCAGTGTTTTACATCCAACAAACTAATGGTCATTTGCTGCTTTATAAAGAGCAGGTATCATTTTGTCTTCCTTGTTATTAAAGGATCAAGCAACGGTGTTTCTGTACCAGTTCAACTTTCTTTATTTACTTATGAGTCAGTAACATTCAAGAAAATCCTAGTTTTAAAAAATGCTATTACATGGTAAACTGTGGAAAAAGTCATCATCATTTGAATAAATCTTGGGTAAGTCCACTGTATTAGTCCGTTTTCATGCTGCTGATAAAGACATACATGAGACTGGGAAGAAAAAGAGGTTTAATTGGACTTACAGTTCCACATAGCTGAGGAGGCCTCAGAATCATGGCGGGAGGTGAAAGGCACTTTTTACATGGCGGTGGCAAGAGAAAATGAGGAAATGAAAAAGCAGAAACCCCTGATAAAATCATCAGATCTCATGAGACTTATTCACTATTATAAGAACAGTATGGGGGAAACCACCCCCATGACTCAAATGATCTCCCACTGGGTTCTTCCCACAACACATGGGAATTATGAGAGAACAATTCAAGATGAGATTTGGTTATGGACAAAGAGCCAAACCATATCAGACACTCTACTATCATGTTTTTAAAAAGTTATATGTTTGTGACACCCAAATATGCAGAATTACTCTATCAGTTAAGTGTATTTTGTAGAAAAGTCAGTAAGAAATCTGCTTTACTAAGAACAGAAAGAGTGATCTGTAAATAATAATATAATCATTGTAATTTACTGAATACTTTTTATGTGCTAAGCTACTGTTACTGTGCAATTGTGTTATTCTTGTCTGCTGCCCAGAAAAAGACAATACACTGAAAACAGCAGATGTTGCAGCAGAGAAAGAGTTTAATAATCACAGGGCAACTGAATGAGGAGGACAGAAAATATTTCTCAAATTTGCCTCCCTGAGAAATCAGAATCTAGGGTTTTTCAAGCATGGTTTGGTGGGCAGGAGGGCTAGAGAATAGAAAATATAATTGGTTGGATTGGGGATAAAATCATAGGGTGTGAAAACTGTCTTCTCGGCCGGGTGCTGTGGCTCATGCCTGTAATCCCAGCACTTTGGGAGGCTGAGGAGGGTGGGTCACCTGAGGTCAGGAGTTCAAGACCAGCCTGGCCAACATAGTGAAACCCTGTCTCTACTAAAAACACAAAATTTAGCAGGGTGTTAGTGGCACACACCTGTAATCCCAGCTACTTGGGAGGCTGAGGCACAAGAATCAGTTGAACCCAGAAGGTAGAGGTTGCAGTGAGCCAAGATCATGCCACTGCACTCCACCCTGGGCGATAGGGTGAAACTCTTTCAAAAACACCAAAAAACTGTCTTCTTGCACTGAGTCAGTTCTTAGATGGGAGTTGCAGGACCAGTTGAGTCAGTTTCTTGGTACAGGTTACCTGTCCAGGTGGTTCCAGTTGGTCCATCACAAAGTAAGTTCTAAAAAATAACTCAAACACCAGTCTTAGATTTTACAATACTGACATTATCTAAAGGAGCAATTGGGGATGTTATAAATCTTATGACCACTGGCTATGTGACTCTTGAGTAGTAAGCAGTTCCAAAAGGCAGATTGTAAAACATAGCCTGGTTACAGTTTAACAATACCTACATCTTAGCAGAAGAAACAATGACCAATTAGAGTTTATGCTTACATCTTAGCATAATTGAGGCCCCCACCATAATTCTAACTTTGTGGCCTTTCATTAGTTTTACAAAAGCAGCTTCAGTCAATGAACAAGAGAGGGGTTAGTTTTGGGAAGAGACTATTATCATCCTTAGTTTAAAATTAAAATGCAAACTAAATTCTTCTCATAGTTAGCTTGGCATACAAATAGGAATGAGAAAAGGTAGTTTGTGAGGTTAGAAGCAAGACAGAGTCAGCTATGCCAGAATTCTCTCACTTACAGTTTTGCAAAGGTGATTTCACTACCCAATATTAGTAGTGAAGGGTGTACTAATGGAATGAGATAGAGAAAGGTTTACTTAATGGAACACCTTTCAGGTGGGCTCTGTGAGTTTAGAAGGAGCTTTCATAGGTGGCTTAGGGTGGAGGCAGAGCTGAGATCCCTAAAGAGTTAAATAGCTTCTAAGGAGGATCTCCTGGTTCATGGAAGCACTTTGGGTTTGTTGAGTAGGATGTGTGAGTTTAAATGTAAAGTTCAGTCAAGACTAACAAGCGGTGAGAGACTGAAAGGATCCTGGAAGAATTTGAAAGTTGGAGAATGGAGCTTTGCATGGTAGACGGATGAGCTAGTTTAGGGGCAGCACAGAAAATAGATTTAGTAAGAATATGAAGGAAGATAACAGAGGATTCCAAGAGCTTGTTCTGGAATGTGGGAGGTAAATTACCTCCTCTGTCTCTCTGATAAGATCTCCAGCAAAATCCATCTTTAGTAGAAATGAATTTCTTCTGGAGAGTGGAAATTAGCTCTGAGACCTGCATAAAGTTGAGGCAAGGGTGGGGCTGCAGGTGTGCACTGCCTACATTTGGGAAATAATAATTAAAATGATAACAGTAGCAGCTTCATTGCTGAGCACCCATTAAAGTTAGGATCATTGTAGATCTTATCAGAGTTAATCTTCATTGCCACCTCTTAGTTCAGTGGATCATCTCTCATAATATAAATGAGGAAACTACAGCTCAGAATGTTTAGGCAACTTGCTTAAGGATATTCAGTGGCATGCGGAAAAACTAGAATGAGGACAGAGTCTGTCTAACTTTAAAGTTGTCTGCTCCTATTCACTGCTGTGCTTCCTCTTTAAAGGTGGAGGTGAGGGGCAGGCATCTAGATTAAGCAGTGGCTTTTCCAAGATGCACCTGCTATGTGGGACAGTCAAAGTATTTGACTACTTCCATTCCTGGATCCCTGGTCTCTGGTGCCCCAGGAGAGCCTACTGATTTCCAGGTACCTTCCTTACAGATTAAATAAGTTCATACATGTAAAATATGCTTAAAACAATGCCTGGCATTGGAAATTCCCAATAAATGTTGTTCATTATTATTAAGAACTTTACAGACACATTCTTATTTAATTCTCACAAATGTATGAGGTAGAAACTATCATCACCATCTTACAGAAAATAAAACTCAGAGGTTAAGTAATTTGCGTAGGTTCACACAGAAAGTAGGTTATAGAGCATGAATTTAGCCCCAGATTGAAGGATTCCAGACTTACCACTATATCCACTGTTCTCAGCTCCTTCTCTTTGACTCTAGCTCCCAACGTTTCTGGGGTTGGGAAAGCACAAGCCCCAGGCTGGCCCTAATTCTGAAGTCCACTTGTGATTCAAGCATTCATGCCAAATAAATGCACAGATTGTGAACTTCTAGATCCTGCTTCACTCCATATTCCAAGGAGCCAGAGGTTGAAGTCAGCAAGTCAGGCTTCTCTAACATCCCACCTTTTGGCAGGCTTCTCTAACATCCCACCTTTTGGCATGAATGTGAGCATGCAATGTTTAGTCTATTGTTTGTTTCCAGCAAGTCTGAATTTCAAGTCCTTTTGCTGGAGGATTATGACTTAGGAATCCAGAACAAATGGCTTTTCCAAAGCACTCCTGGTCACATCTGCATTTATTCATACTAAGATATTTTATCATGTTACTTATCTCACCTGAAGCAAGTAAAAATGTCTGTTATCATGACATCTGAGTTTAACAGGCAACTCAGAGGTGTGGTGTGCATAGGCATGTGAATCACATTCTCACCTCCCAAAAATTTGTTTTGAAGTTCAGAACTGTTTTCAATGACCACATCGAATATTCAAAACTATACACTGTAGTTACAGTTATTCTAAACTTTGAAAAGGACACTCGGAGGTATGTGATATTGGATTCTGGAGTCTAGTCATTGACTTTAGGGAGATGAATCCCACTTCCTTCATTGACTAGATGTGGCACCTGAGACAAATAACCTTATCTCCTGAGGCCTCCGTATCTTCATTTTGAAGAAAAAATAATAATAGTAGTAGATTCTTCTTAAGGCTATTGTGAGGCTTAATGAGCAAGTGCATGTAAATGCTTAAACACATGATAATAGCTTGATACTGATTATCTGTTATTAGGAGCCAATAACCCATGACTCCTCTGGGAACTTAGTAATTTGGGTAAAAGCAACTAGCACAATGCTTGGCACAGAATAACTACTCAATAAATGTTTGTTATCAACAGTGTTGCTCTTGTGGTTGATCTTATCATTAAACCTGAAGTCTTTCACCTTTGATTGATTGATTGATTTCGTTCATTCATTCATAAACCTGAAGTGCCTTCTCTGTGTTAGACATTTCTCTTGACATTGGAATGGGTCAGTCATCATTCCCGGTATCAAGAAGTTCACAAAATCATGAAGGAGAAAGATCGAGGAAGAGAGAAATGTCTTAGATGCCTTGATTAGAATGAAAGCGTGTACTGGGGTCAGTTAGGGAGGGAGACTGGTAGACATAGTAATTTCTGTAGCAGGAAGAGAGACCAGGAAAAATTCCACTAAAGAAGGCACTGAGTTAAGGTTGAAGAAAGTGTGGATGGTCACTG